TGTTTTATTTCTTTCAACAATGCACAAACGGGATCTATTATTCAGTGGCAAGTCTAGATTAATTGTTTTCGATTTTCTCTCGAATAATATATATATTGTGTACGATTCCTCATCTCGCAAGACAATTAAATGTTTGATTTTCAACGTATTGTAATATCTTTTCCTTTTCGCATTTAACTTCATTAAAATTCCTCTTTTTTTATCCTCTCTCCCTCTCTCTCTCTCTCTCTCTCTCTCTCTCTCTCTCTCTTGAACTGCTAATTTTTCAAATGCATGGAGAAGAATCACCAGGAACATAGCTCGTATTTTTCTTTCATTTCTTTTTTTTTTCGTTTGTAGGTTAAATTTCGTGCCTGCCGTAACGAGGAGTACTGCGTATTTTTTTTTCGATTATCTTTTTTTCTTTTTCTTTTAGAGATATGATATGATAAGAGCAGGAAGTACTACCGTATGTCGCAGCATGCAACGTTTTTATTTTTCCCTTCGCGTAATTAAGCACAGGAATTGTTGATTACTTTTTTCCCGTAATAACCATACTATCTCATCTCATGCTTATCAGATTACCTAACGATTCTTAACGGAAATCTTATAGAAACTTATATGTGTCTACAAATAGGTCTCGAAGTAACGTATAAAAGAAACAATATTACTTTTCTTTTTTCTAAACAAGTTAGAAATGTACACGTTGCTTCGAGCACAGAATCGAAATCAGCGTGTAAACGGTGCTCATTAGAGACTAGAATAATTTGATTTGTAAACATACCTAAAATACTGACGAACGTCGAAGATGATACGACCGATTGTGACGGAAAGCTATTGTTTTGCAAGTTCCTTCCCCCTCTCTTCGCTTTTTACGTGTTCCTCTCCCTCCTCCCGCGCCATTATTCGTAGTGTTTCAATCCAGGTCTATAATTCTTCCTTTTGTTCATTTCCGTTTCTTCGTTCTTCCTCTTGTTTTTTTAATTTATCTTGGCAGTTTACCAAATGCAACTGGCTAAATTACTATTTATACTGTTTTTTGGTCGGAGACGTACGTTTACCTTTTTCTTCTTCTTCTTCTTCTTCTTCTTCTTCTTCTTTCGAACTTGTTACTTTCATAAAACAGGGACGCATTTAAAACTTGTATTTGTTTTTCATCTTTGCTTTCTTTTCACTCTGTTTATACAGACTATTTAAAGCTGCATGCTGCACTCGTTTATTTATTTATTTGTTTCTTTTTTTTTTCCTTCTATTGCTTCGATAGGCCCAAATCTCAAAGAACTCGATGTGCCACGGGCATGTCTTTCTTTTTTTTTTCTATTTTTTTTTCTTTTTTTTTTTTATTTATTTAGATTGATTCGTCTTTCGTTGAGAGCAGAGTGATTCTTACGCGACAAAAGAACGTCTACACTCGTTGAAGAAAGTTACGACGTACTTATTTGGTCTGCTTCCTCGCTTCATGATATGTAAAGAGTGTTCAACACGAGGACGTGGTGATTATTTTTAGCCAAAGTCACGATATACCCCTCTGAGGTTATTTTCAAGCCACAACACCGGGAGACCTGCGAAATGCCAATTGATTACATTAATTAAGGTTATAATTAGTAACTCAAAAAAATAAAATTAGGAATTTCTCAAAAATTGTTTATAACAACTATTTTTCTAGTACAATTAATGTAATACAGTAACAGTGACAACTAAAATTTCTTCATTACTAAATTTCTGTTACATAAAAGGTAAAAAAGATTACCTTAACATATGGACATTCGAACTCGGAGATCAAGGAACCATCTCTTGAGAAAACGGCTACGTGAAACCGATTACCGTGCGAATCCCCTATTAATATATCGCCTGCATCGCTAATATCGATCCCGTTTGGGAAGTTTGTTACATTGTCACAGCCAATGCGACGCAAAAACTTGCCATCCTCATTGAACACTACTACGCAGTGTCCCTTAAAGTCACAAACAAAATATTCCTTACCTGCAATAAGAAAATCTTTTACAGATAAATTCTGTTTCATAAAATCTTCAGAAATAATCTAGAATAAACTATTACTTACCACTAATTGCAATATCACTTGGTTCCCTCATATATTCGCTGCAATCGAACCACCTCAACAGGTCTCCCGTATCGCTGATCACAAATACCGTCGGTGACACGCTATCAACAGCCAAAATGTAGCCCTCGCTAGTCACAGCTAGGCCAGCTACGATGTCGATGTATCGAATTGCTATTTTCTTAATAAAGTGACCGCTTTTTGTGAATATCTGCATCCTGGACCGTTCATTTCCCCGGTCACAGACCACAAATTTTCCGCTGTTCCTCATCACAGCTACTTTCCTGGGGAACCACAACTGTCCTTCCTCCTTACCAGGAACACCAAATTGGAATTTGAAAATACCAGTCTTATCGAATATCTGAAAAATATGAAAGTGATGTAACATACGTTATTTAAGTCTGAAATATTTCATTTATTTCCATATATGTATGTATATATACCTGAATTCTGTGATTGTTTGTGTCAGCAACAATAATGTCCTCATCAGCACTTAAACAAAATCCATGGGGTGAGCTGAATTGACCTTTACTGGGACCTAATTGTCCAAATTTATACCTAATGTGCATGGGAGTTAGTTTAGTGTTGTTTGAACGTGGGTGAGCGTAATTTCCGGATCCGGAACCGGTCACATTACCAACAGTGTTCCCAACCACTACAGGCATGCTGGGTATAGAGTCTCCTCTTAAATCATCTGCAAAGAATATTCACATATATATCAATTTATACGGAGTATATATTTATAATAATCATATATGAGAGTCATACCAGCACCCTGTGAAAGTATTGGCGAGGTAGAGGAGGATAACGATTGGAAGCCTCCATTTAAGAGACTATTAGCAGCAAGACTCAGATTTGGTGTATCGACGATGGCTGGCGAAGGTCCTCTGCCTAGTACTAGACCACTACCTCCATTAATTGTCGCATTTCCAAGATCTTTGAATAGAAATAATAATTTCAATATATTTATTTAAAAAAAAAAAATTAGTCTATATTAGCAATTATGAACCTTGATTGCCAAGCGTGTTTCCTAATTTTGCCAGTGCTTGTAAGTTATTGATCGCATGACTGGTAGAGCTCAGATCACCAGCAAACAAATCTGCCAAAGTGAAGGGTGATGTTGGGCTGGGGTTCGAACTAGGCCCAACTACGTTCGTGTCTCCAACCATCTCAACCTTTTCAGCTAAACTCGCCAATTGCTGTAGATTGTACTCTTGAATACTGGTCAGCCCATGGATAGGACCTGGTGGAAGAGATACAGGAGGTGGGGGAGGTGGAATATTCTGAGGACTGGACGTTGGAGGTATAACAAAAGGTGGTTCACCTTCGAATGAGGATTGCAGTGATGTAGGATGAGAAATGGGAGACCTTGTGCTAATTGAACGTGGGCAGCCCATCGAAGTATGAACCTGCTGATTCGTAGAAACCCCTGGCACGGTTGTAATTGGTTCCGGAGTAGACTTTGTCACTGGTGTGCTCTCAGTATGAAATTTACCAAATACTTCCTACAATTATCCATTCGGTTTACGTTCCTATATCACCCGAGTCTTCATTTAAGCGTACATAGTTAAAATCATTGTATATATACCTTCATTGCTTTCTCAAACTGATTGTAGTCAGTTTGGAACTGTATAGAAAAAGAAACATTTGGCTTTGGTGTGTTTTTTATTAAATTCATTAGTTGCGTTCCAACGATACGACGAAGTGCAAGGATCTCCACAGCGTCACCGTGCTCGAGCAGTCTAGAGGTAAAACGACAAGCATCTTCTATCTTCTCCACAGTCTTTTCAACACTGTAAAAGCACAAATGTTAGTTTAATAAATGAACTTTAGAAAGATGCAGAAGACAAAAAACAATTTCCTGACCTGTGAAATGTGTCCATTATTTTTAGCTCTCTATCAGAATGTAACTTTTCAAGTTCAACCAAAGCATTGTCTCTACACTTTTCTAAAACAGCTTTATAACTCTGAAATGTCTCGACAATCAGATCTTTAGCTTGATCATGTTGTGCTTGTAGCTCACTAAGTGCATTTCCTAACTGGGCAGATACTTGGTCACAATCTGCAATTCTTGCTTTGCTCTCATTCATCAATTTTATTAATTCCTCCTTTTGACGTGGTTCTGCATCCATTAATCGTTCATACTGATGCTCTGGAGCTTTGTGCTCAACAAGTAAACACTCGTTGCATATTGGTTCCTGACACACAAACAATGAAATATACTTTATATTTAACAAATTATACTATAACGTAACAATCAAGTAAAGTTTAAGTCTGATTATATTCCATACCATGTATGGGCTCAGATGTTAGTACATAATACATTTGCAATTCAATCTTTTTCTTCTTATTAAACAAAGTATTTACCTGACAAGAGTAACAATAAAACGAAAGCCACCACCTTGTGACTTTCAAAACAACGCATAAATTGGTGCGCGGTATTACAATGCGGACACAAGAAGTTGGCACAGTCCGAACAACGTGCAACCGCGCTCTCTTTGGCTTTACACGAGGTACAGAGTACAGCCATGTTCTCAATCGCAGACATGTCAAGTATATTAGTTAAAACATAGTCACACGTCAGTGACGCGGCACCCTTAGAACTAATGGAAGTTTCTTGTTGACAAAGAGGACAGATTAACACGGAGCTGACCTTTGAGTCGCCTGCTTCATCCATCAGAAGCTTGTCCAAACAAGCTTCGCAGAACACATGAAGACAAGAAAGCACTCGTGGAGAACAAAGTTTGCTCATACAAATAGCACATTCTTGATCATCGGCCACACCAGTGCCACAATTGATCTCTTCCAGGGCATCTCCAGGATTAGAAGCCTCATTGCAGCCAGTAACGGCATTTATGTTTCGTTCACTAAATACATTCCCATTCTCAACATCTTCACTCTGAGTGATACCAGTTCCAGCTGGGACCGATGCTGTTCCAGAAGGAACAGCTACCATGGATGATGCCATCCTGTGATTCCCCCCTTTGTTTGCGCGGTAATTACTCTTATAGGCTTGTGTCGAGAACTCGTGAAACTGAATTTGTTATGTATGTATATATATATATACATATACATATATATATATATACATGTATATATATGTATATATATTTTTAACGTTCCGTTTTTAAGAAACGAGACGGCGGATATCTACAAAATAAAGAAAACCCACGAACCCCTCTTAGATCATGAAATACATGGGCCATGCATCGTAGAATCGATCGTAACCACGAAACAAAACACTGTTGGTCACTAGTTAGTCTTCCCAATGGGCACTTCTACTACCGTGTGTGCATAAAAATTCACGCACACCGAGGAAGAAAATTGAATCGACGCGCGACGCTTGCCGTAATGAACAAATTTTCGTCGTGCAGCATTTCTCAGTTCCGCAACCAACAACCGATATATTTTTTTCTCTCCCTCTCCCTCTCTCTCTCTCACCCTCTCTCACTCCCTCCTTCTTTCTCTCTTTCGTTTCGTGTGTGCCTCGAGATAAAAGATTCCGCTTCGTGTCACACGCGTTTAACACTTTCTTCTTTCTTCTTCTTGGTCACCGCGTTTTATTTACATTTAAACATTGAATTGATTTTTCACTGACCACTGGGATTGCTTACCGTCTGGGTTCGTGTTAAATTTTCATTTTGACCACGATCAACGTTTCGAGTGTACTAACAAACATTATCGATTACACGAATCCCTCGGACTTCCTACGTGGATTGTACAACGGCGATTGTTTCAATTTCAGTTGTTATCGACGCCTCGACACCGCGAACATTTCGGGCCTTTTCATATGTAGAGCGTAGGAATATAAATCATTCGAATCGAGAAGAGTTGACCCCAATGCAGGAGCCCTGCAAACAATTAATATAATGATGGTACACTTATAGACCATCCATGGCCCTTAAAAACTCCCCTAAGTCTCGTCAACGCGACGATTAAGTCGTCACCTTGCGACTGTGTTGCGTACTATCGCCAGTTCTAAAATTTGAATGGCCACATTAACCTACTTTTTTAAGACTTAATTATATTAATATTTGGGGTTATTTTATATTATGTATTTAAAATACTTAAATTATGATTTAATTTGATTAAATTGTATTTAATTTCATGTGTAAGATACTTAAATCATACTAATATTTAACAATGGCAACAAAAATGATTACTCTCCAATCAAATCTTTTGAATACTGATTAAAAAAAGTCAAAAAAATAGCTTAATATTCTTTTCGAAAAATTTACGATTCATCATGGTACATCTTCATGAATAGTGCGTAAAGGGATTAAATCCCGTTATTTTATCAGAATTTTCTAATATTGGAAGGTATCTTTTTTTATGACGAAATAACAAATAATAACGACAGTATAAGAATTATTTAAAAATTATTGTATACAAATTGCGCAATGCTGTAATTGATAATTCACGTTATCACAGTGGTTCTCAATCACCATACAATTTATACCTCATTAAAGCGTTACCACAAAAAGAAAAAATGTAACCATGCATTCTAATAGCACTTTTTCTCTGTAGAAAAGTAAAATTGCTCAAAAACGGTCATCTTTAAAATCAATGAATTTTCTAACCTTTAAAATTCACCGAAATGATTACAAGGAATTGGCATTAGAATTTTTCTCGTTCTGGAGAATTTCATGTTCCGCGTTGGGAATCACTGTAACGGAGCTTTACGGTGTGATGTTCAAGAGGAACGGTACGTTGCATGCCTATCACACGTCAGATTGTGAATGGAAAAATTTCCTCGAGGCTTGATTTTTCTCAATTTTTCTTATGAGTGAAATAAACATCCTTATTAAATAATCGTAGCACGAACAATTTTTTACAAGAACAGTTTCCAACCTCTTTGTTTCGTCATTTCAAGTCGCGGGATTTTCTTGTTAATTCAATTAATTTAATTAAACGGAGCACTCTATTTTCCATTGTACATCTTGTTTCCGGCGTTCTTGCTCAAGCGGCGTGACTTTTATTTCACACCACTCGCTGACGAATCGATGCTTGGCAATTGAATTCGGTAAGAAAGTTTCGTTTTCGTTTAGGTGGCCTCTTTACGATCGATTTTCACTCTCATTTTCTGGTAATCGGTAAATATTAAAGTTATTGAAATATTTGTAGGGATAATGGTGCACAGAATATTCAAAAATTACTTATATAATTATTTAGAATACTTTGAAATTATTTGTATCTGTTTTCTTCACAGGAATATGAGATGGCCAGACTTATAGCAAATCTAATTATTTATTTATGTTTGCTGGGCAGTATTATTAGTGCTAATGAGGATGGTGATAGTATTGTCCAAGATGTAGTGACAAAGTTAGTTTACAAAACACCGGAGGTCTCTGGTTTCGCACATTTGGTAGAAACCTTTGACGATGAGGAGAAGTTTAAAAAGACATGGGTACTTTCAGAGGCTAAGAAAGATTCTACGGATGAGGATATAGCGAAATATGATGGTCTGTCTATTGTTACTGGCTTTACATGTTTAAACAATAGAAAACTTATATGTACATTATCTGTATAGGAATTTGGTCTGTGGAGGAACCTAAAAAGCATGCGCAAGAGGGTGATCTTGGATTAGTGCTTAAGAGCAAAGCTAGACATGCTGCTGTATCCACTTTATTATCCAAACCATTTCACTTTAAAAGTAGCCCTTTGGTTGTACAGTATGAAGTTAATTTCCAAGAAGGTCAAGAATGCGGTGGAGCCTATTTGAAGTTACTTACTCTGGACTTAGAGCATCAAGATTTAAAGAAGTTCCATGATAAAACTCCCTATACTATAATGTTTGGGCCTGATAAATGTGGAAATGATCACATGGTATATAAAGTGCTGAAAATTTAATTTTGAGAAAATTCTTTTATATTAACTGATTGCTTCTCTCTAGTTACATTTCATCTTCCGACACAAAAATCCCCTAAATGGTACCATAGAGGAGAAACACTGCAAAAAAGCAAGGGAACGCCTGGAAGATTTCTTCAAAGACAAGCAGCCTCATCTGTACACTTTGATCATTCGACCTGACAATAGTTTTGAGATTAAAGTTGACAATAAGATTGTAAATTCTGGATCCTTACTGGACGATTTCACTCCACCGGTTAATCCACCGCTGGAGATAGAGGATCCCACTGATGTTCAACCTGAAGATTGGGATGACAGAGAAAAGATCCCTGATTTATCTGCCGTTAAACCAGAGGATTGGGACGAAGATGCCCCTGCACAAATCGTTGATGAAGACGATATTATGCCTGAGGGATGGTTGGAAGATGAACCACCCATGATATCTAATCCTGACTCTGTAAAACCTGAAGACTGGGATGTAGAAATGGATGGGGAATGGGAACCTCCTGAAATACCCAATCCAAAATGCGCAGACGCGTCTGGTTGTGGACCATACAAGCAGAAAATGAAAAAGAATCCACGGTACAAGGGTAAATGGTCACCACCCTTGATCAACAACCCCAATTATAAAGGAAAATGGAAGCCTAGGTTGATGCACAACCCTGATTATTTCAATGATGAACATCCATTCAGGATGACGCCTATTGTACGCTCCTTTTTTAAAATTTAGAATATCTATGAGACTATTATATTAAAATATTTATATTTTTTAGTTCGCTGTCGGCTTTGAACTTTGGTCCATGTCCACGGACATTTTCTTTGACAACATCTTGGTTACCGATAGTGAAGATGTAGCGAAAAAGTGGGCAGATGCCACATTCGAAGTACGCCGTGCAAAAATCGCAGAGGAGAGTGTGAGTAATTCTTTTTTTTTTTTTCTCTAATTTGTAAGATTATGATATTTAACGTTTACTTAAATCAAATTTCCGGAGGACTACGGTAAAATTAAAGGACAGATGAACTTTTGGAAACGTTATGTATGATACATGTACACTGTGCCATGCAGGTGACTTTATGGGGTCGCATATTGAAAGCTACAAATTATAAACCGGGCTGGTGGGCGCTATATTTCTTATATTGCGCGATTCCAGTTGTATTGTATGTTTGGTATCTACTGAAACGAGCTGGTGAGGTATATTTTCTGGCCCCTCAAACATGCAAATTACTTGCTCTTTGTAATAGTATTATGGCTAAGCCTTTTATAATAGCTCATCTGCATAAACCCCTTGTACATAGTAGTATAAGTTGAAGAAAAGGATAATAGCAGTTAAAAATTTTTTAATTCGTTGAGGATGCTTTTATTATATTCTAGTCAGATCCAGGTGGTGCACGGTATAAATTGTACAAGTGCAGAGGGTATGTAAATCACATGACTTGTAATTGTGTGATTGTTTTACGCAGTGGAGTGTATGGCGTCAGATTGGCACATTTACCGCGGAACATCCTTGGATATGGGCTGTGTATATAATAGCTGCTGGTTTCCCCATACTGCTAGTAATATATTGTTGCTGCTTTGCTTCTCAGGTATAAAAAATGTCATAAATGTAATTCCAAAACAAGTATAGTATGCTAATTTTTTAGTTTTTGAGAATTTTTAGAAATAAAATCATATGTCTTTATAATCCATAAAATTTATTGATTTCCTTTTTAGGAAAAATATGACTTAAAGGATGAAGACAAACAGCCTTTAGACATTAATGAGGAGGCAGCACAGAAACAAGAAGAGACAGAAAATCCACCAACTAGTGCCGAAGCAGATGAAAAAGAAAATGCCTCACTTAGTGCGGAAGCAGAGGAAAAAGAAAGTGCCTCAGTTAATGCCGAAGCAGATGAAAAAGAAAATGCCTCAGTTAGTGCCGGAGCAAGCGAAAAACAAAATGCCTCAATTAGTGTCGAAGCAGACGAAGAAACAGAAAACCAGCCAGCTGGTACAGAAGCAGAAGAAGACACCGAAAAGGAAATTGAAGAAATAATAGAAAGTGAAAAAAATGTTAGTAAAAAATCTCAAAATATATAATTAAAATAGTTCACTGAATAATTTGTCCTAATGTTACATTTACTTTCAGGATAAGCCAGCAATAGGTGGCGATGGACCACGACGAAGAAAACCAAATAAAGAATAAAATTAATTAAAATTAAAACGAAAAAAATTCATATTAACAAGGTATTTATGCAACACTCACATTCCACTTAAACACTTGCCATTGTGGAAGTTAGGATTTCTTTTTTTTTTTTCTTCAGTATCTAATTACATGCAATACAATATCACTAGCTACTAAATCGTTATACCTAAATATTTAATTAGGTATTCGGTTCTCAAAGCATAACGTCTTATTTATGTCATGTTCTCAAGCAAGTAATTTTTCACATTTCGAGCATGTCTTACGAATGAATGATAAAACATAAATACTTAAAAAAAAAAAAATTTGTAAGAATGATGTTTGGTGTAAAAACTATTTATGCCTTAACAATATGTAGCAATTGTAACTTTTGTTATTGTATATTATAAAAACAAAAAGAACGAATAATAGAATAGATTTATTCACGATTTTTCTGTACAACAACAGCAGTTGATTATGTGCTTTTTTAGAGAAAAGGTTCGTGGATGATCATATCGTGCGGTAATATTTTAACATACAATCCGTACAGGAACTTATAATATTTAATCAGTTACTGTTTTCAAATAGACATTTATAATATTATTCGATGTAATGATCTTTCTTAAATAATGTTTCATTCCTTTGTCGTTATGTTGAATAAAGTGTACAATGTGAATGAAATACTTTTATGTATTATGTACGATGTTGTATTATTTATATAACTCTGTTAAGTTTGAAATTGTTTAAAGATAATTAAACGTGTAAGTTATAAAAATTATCTTTGCTTATGTTGTAATAGTTTTTTTTTCTTTTTTTTTAAATTAGGACTAAAGAGAGATTGATTCGCTTCGAATAGAACGTAAAATATCAAGTTAAATTTTATTTTGAAGAACTTGGTTTCTTTAATCGTGAATCACGAACGGAGCGTCGCACTTCGCCGCCGTTTAGTATCTTACAGTATAAATATAAAATAAAAGCAGTCTTATTTAAAAAGGTATAATTGTGCATTCTTATAAGAATAGCTGTTATAATACAATTTGCGTTGAACCATTAAAATAAAATTGTATTTTTATTCGTAATACTTTCTTACGTGCATTAATCTTTTCGTTTAAGATTAACATGCTTTGGTTTCAACGTGCATAAAAAAAAGTGTAAAATGTACAATTCCTTATTTTTATCAGAGCAATTTTGTTTTGCAGATTCATGGTGGTATTATTTTCAATTGTGTCTTAACCCATAACATTATCTAGTCATTGTACGTAATATACATCTTAGGTACAGATCGCGAATTTAAATATACACTCGAAGAAATCTATTTACGGACTAGTAGAAGGAATACTGGAATTCTGTGTACATGACATACAAGTAGGCACAGCACGCTGCGAATGGTGTCCAGCAAGAACAGTATGTTCACCCATACATGTTGTGCATAATACATCTCCACATGACCAACAATGGTGCTAAAAAGAAAGAAAAAAAGATATATATATCTTCCATATTTCTAGATAATTTCCAGTCCAAGGCAACCGTTTCCAATTCGTTCTCTAATTGACTGATTTTTAAGCTGTATTTTGCCTTCTCCTCATGATTTTCTGCGTTCTCTATTATGGTTTCTGGATTCTTGGTGAATTTGTTATCGAGTATTAATTTCCCTTGTACATTATTTTTTTGGACATTGTTCATGTTCAATACTGAATTGACGGAACTGACCCTCTATGTAAACGAATATAATATTATAAATTTAATAAATGGTAAAAATTGTTTAAAAATTCCTGCACCTTTACAAGAAGCTTAACGTGATCCTCCAAACAACTGGTATGATCATGCATTACCAAAAGAATGTCCTCATATGTTTCTCTCGGATGTATATCATTTTCGAATCTGAAGTACATTCCACGCCATAAGCTAAAAAATTTTCTCATTTCACTTTTAATCCTTTCATGAAAGTAGAAAAAACAAACAATTTATATATATTACGTAATACTCTGTGGTGCTAGTTTAGGTTGAAGAACGGAACTAGCGTCCTCGTTAGAACGATTACATTTGTACAGTGGATTTATATACTCATGCATGTTGTTTGCTATGTACCCCCATAGGGAATACGTTCTTTCCGTCACTCTGGGAACAATTAAAGACAGATAAAATGATAATTTTTTATAAATACACTACCACTTAAAAAGTACCTGAGCGTATGCCTCTCTTTCTCTGAGTTTCCTATAAAAGTACCATACTGACAATTATGTACATGATCATGAAGGGTTAACAAGAAAAATTCATTGAACTGAAATTTATGGGGATATTGCTGTAACAGCTGATACGTTGCATCAATAAACTGAGTAAAAATTGGAGCTAACTCTTTACTATCACAACTAATATGACCACAGCGGTCACTAAACTTATGTCCAAATGATAACCAGTCTTTTTCTATCAATGCCTGGAAAATAAAATACGAAAATGTAAATCAGATTTCAAGAAATTATTTTGGAAGTTTTAGTAAACATTAACTTCTTACTTGAAAGCCTTGAATTGTTCTGTAATATGGATCCAATAATAAAGCACTCAATGAACATACTTGAGCAGTGCGATCCCAACCATCACTGCAGTGCACCACTACGCTAACTCCATTGGAAACTGCTCTGGCAATGAACCATGCAGCTTCTAGAATAGATCGTATATGTTTCAACCATCCACAGCTTTCCAAGCCGCTTAAAAATGCACTCATCGACGGTGTTCTTTGTACTGTAATAATAATTAAAAATATTGAAACAATAAAAAGCTATAATTTAGACAGAAGCTTTAGAACAATGTGATATTTACATTCTATTAGCTTATTTAAACTTGTTCTCATTACGTGAATATTTTCAATACCAAAAAAGTGAAATTTTATATTATCATAAAAGTTTTCATTTTCGTAACCTTTCCCTGTAGCTCTATTAGCAAAAGCATTGATCTAAACAAATAAATACACGAATTAATATTTGTTCTTGTAAATTATATACAAAAAAGATGTAAGTGGACCATATGACATAATGGATTACTCAAATGTTTTACAATTACGAAAATACCTTACTCGATGTTTATAGACTTACGCGCGGTCGTGTATCTACGACGTACATATATTTCGAGTTCGAGTTTGTACATAAAATATTGTACATCATTTGTTCATCTTCGGGGCATCGTGCACTGAATCCTGATAACGGTTGACTACAACGGCAAATAGCAGCCTGTAAAATACTTCTTTATTGATTACTAAATTTAACATATAATTTAAATGCTTTCATTGATTTGTACCTTGTTAGAATGTAAGTATGTTAAAACTGGTAGTCTGCCTCTACTTCTAAACTTTGCACTACCTTTCAAGATGGTACAGGCACATGTGCTTGGTACGTATAAATACTTAGGATAAGTATCACAAAGCTGAAAATCCAATTATATGAAATCTTATTTTATAAAGTTCATGATAAATATCATAAAAAATTTGTACCTTATAACTTATATTTAAATAAGACAAAGACCATTCCTCATTTGGGACACCCTGCCTTTGAAATTCACTTTGTACATTAAAAAAATTCCATCCTGCATGCTGTGGTAAAGTGTCCTTATTTGCTTGATATTTAAAACAATAAAGATCCTCTAAACTTACTGAAAAGAAAATGCATAAGGTTCACTATTGGTTATTACAATTGTACTCAGTATAGAGTAGCATTTACCTGGGAAAGATAGCTTTGATAAGGTAAGATATATGTCATGGCAATCACGTTCTTTTGGAATAACAAATGTTACAATAAAAAAGTGTTTACATTTGATACACAATGGAGAACCTGCTGTGGTTAATGGCTGTTTTTCTATGTTTGAAATATGAGTATATAATACCTGGAGTATGAAATATTAATGAGGTTGCTGTTAATATTACAAGAGTAACAGATTATTATGCTCTTACCCAGATTTTCTTGTTCCCACTTCGTTCAGTGAATATGAGATGTGTTACGGTTAAATAAAGAGTACCAATAGAGTGATTGTTACTATACTTATCGAAAATCCTTACATTCTCCACCTATAATTACAAATTTTCAAACCGTGATGACAGATCTAAAAATCCAGTAAAATTACGTTCTAAATTCTTAAATAATTGAGCGTCACATTTTTTGTAAAAAATATAAATCTTCCTATATAAATGCATGAAATATCGTAATAATTTGGAATAGATGTTACGAAAACATTTATTTTATTTCATAGCGACATATTGGCGAATGACATATTAACAGATGTTCGTAATCATGATTCAAAATTTATCCGAGACAGCTTCACGATAAATGAAACAGGTGTTTATCCGGATACCTTCGAGATTTTGATTTGATCCATTTCGTATCGTACGCTCACAATTTGTTTACACCTGAGGAACCATCTGATGAATTGTAAATTGGGTACCACTGACCTATCTTCGAGGCAATGGTGCTCAACTTGCCCTTATAAAAAAAAATATATATATATGTGTGTTTCTCCTTACTTGATACGTAATTAATCGTTCATTATACGAACACGTTTTATCGTATGTTTTTTTTTTATAAAAAAATAAAACCGACGATATCAGTTATCGACACTCTTTAACCAAAAAAATTCAATACTTTTACATATTCGTTATAGATGGCAGTAGAGGGATGAACTAATATTTTTGATAGATCGTTTTGTAAATACAAAGATAAACAAAACTATTCATATTATTAAAAAACTAGTCGTTTAATTTTTCACTTTTTCTAAGATAACTTACGATGTTATTTTTATAAATTATAAAAAAGCTGAAACAATGAGTAATAAGACTGGTAATACAGGTAAATCTTTTTTATAAAATCAGGCTACGTTTAAAAAGAAAATATTTATTGTAATAGTTATATTTTTCTAGGAGAAGTAGATCCTGTACAAGAGGAACTGGCTGGCCGTGTGAGGGAAGTTGGAAACCATGCAATTTGGAGTTTATCTAGCTGCAAGCCTGGTTTTGGAGTGGATCAGTTACGTGATGATATCACAGAGACTTATTGGCAATCTGATGGACAGCTTCCTCACTTGGTCAATATACAGTTTAAAAGGAAAACAACAATACGTGATATATGTATATACACAGATTATAAATTAGATGAAAGTTATACTCCTAGTAGGTAAGAAATTTGTATTTTTTTTTTTTCTATCAAAAACAAAGCAATTTTGGAGTATTACTAATACCTTAATATTATCTTTAACTTAAGGATAAGTATTAGGGCAGGCACAAATTTTAATGATCTTCAAGAAATAGAAGTCATGGATTTGAATGAACCAAGTGGTTGGATTGTGATTCCAATAAAAGATATGAATGACAGACCTATCAGAACGTTTATGATACAAATAGCTGTGATGAACAACCATCAAAATGGACGGGACACACATATGAGGCAAATTAAAATTTACAGTCCAACACAGAATGTTCTAGGACCACCAGCTTCTTATATTCCAGGCCAATTTCTTACTAATGAATTTCTACGTTATGCTACTGTTAGATAAAGAAATAAATGTTATTATCAAATAAATATTATTTGCAGAGAAAATTTCAAAGAAAATAAATATAATTTCTTATTTATTAAAACTAACTTTACAGTTCAGTTTTATGTACTGTTGTTAATAAAGTATTCATTAAAGGTTGAGTGTGATTCCATTTCTATTATTGGAAGGCAAAAAAATATAAACACAATGTATGTAAGAACTACTGTTTCATCCATGAAATGTTTCCAGTTATAAATAGACAATCTAAGTGACAATATCAGTGAGATTATGATAAATATGGTTCTAAAATTATTGTTAATTCTAGTGTTAGTTAATATAACAAAATGCAGTACATATGAGAAAGAAAATGATATCTTAGATATAAATCTTTATTATACAACTAACTACTTCAAAAAATTAAAAACAGATTATGGTATAAAAGTTCTAATAAAAAAATAAAATTAAATGTTATATTTGTATTTTATATTTTGAAATTTT